GGATTTTCGGATTCCGTCCTCTCCTCTTCCTTAAAAGTGGTTTGCTGGAACTGTCAAGGGGTGGGGAACCCCTGGACAGTTCGACGACTCCGGGAAATCTGCAAAAAAATCGACCCTGACATTATTTTTCTCTCGGAGACAAAAAATCCCCATAAGGTGGTGGTGAAGAAACTGGAATGTCTTCGACTCAGTAACTTCAAAACAGTACCTCCCCATGGTAGAGCTGGAGGAGGTTTAGCATTACTCTGGAAAGATGGGATTGAACTTGATGTTATCTCATCCTGCAAAAACTATGTTGATACAAGAATAATGTATGAAGGAAATTTAAGTTATGCAACCTTTGTGTATGGAGATCCTGACAAAAAGAAACGCAAACAAACGTGGGACTACCTGTCGGCACTGGCTCTAATTCGAGATGCCCCTTGGTTTGTCTCAGGGGACTTCAATGATCTTACGGGAAACAATGAAAAAGAGGGAGGTTCTGAAAGACCAGAGGGCTCTTTTGACGACTTCAGATCCTTCCTTCTGGAAGGTGACCTTTATGACCTCCAACACACTGGTAATTGCTTGTCCTGGAGGGGAAAGAGAGGAAACCACGAGGTTAAATGTCGCCTTGACAGGGCTATGTCCAACGGGTCTTGGGCAGAACTTTACCCCTCTGGAAGATGCGAATATCTTCGCTTTGAAAGCTCTGATCACCGGCCACTGGTTACTTTCTTTGAGCCCCTGCGAAAGAAAAAAAAGGGTATCTTTAGATATGATCGTACTCTTAGCAAAAACCCTGAAGTGAGTAAAATAGTTGAAGATACATGGTCAGAGGAAACTCAACTTAAAGTTAAGCAAAAGGTGGATAAGTGCAGAACAGCAATCATCAAGTGGTCAAAGCAACAACAAGCAGAGCTCAAGGCTGTTCTGGAAAACCTGAAGAGCCAAATTGATCAAATTATGTCTGCATCTGCCCCAGATGAACTTCGACTTCAAGAACTAAATGCGGAATTGAAAAACCAGTACTTACAGGAGGAGGAGTACTGGAAACAAAGAAGTAGACAACTCTGGCTAAATCTTGGAGATAAGAACTCAGGCTTCTTTCATGCGTCAACAAAAAAGAGGAAAGCTCTTAATAAATTCTCTGTAATCGAGGGGCCTGATGGTACCTCAGTGTACACGGAAGAAGATATAACTCTAACCATGGAGAAATACTTCTCTGATATATTCAAACCGATCGCAAGGGAACCTGGAGAGATGGAGGAAATAATCAATGAAGTCATTCAACCCTTGATATCTAATGAAACAAACCAGAGACTGATTAAAATACCTGAAGCTAGAGAGATCAAAGAAGCCTTATTCTCCATTCACCCCGGGAAGGCACCAGGACCCGATGGCTTCTCTGCGTGTTTTTTCCAATCAAACTGGAATGTAGTGGGTGAGGATATAATTAAAGAAGTTCAAGGCTTTTTCCTGTCGAGCTCTATGCCAAACACGATAAATGAAACTCATCTCAGACTCATCCCGAAGACCCTCAGCCCAAAAAAAGTATCTGAGTACAGACCTCTAGCCCTTTGTAACGTGAGCTACAAAATAATATCCAAACTCCTTGCTAAGCGCCTCCAGCCTCTACTTGGGGAGATCATCTCAGAGACCCAATCTGCGTTTGTACCCAAAAGAGCCATATCAGACAATGTTTTGATATCGCATGAATTCCTACACTATCTCAAATCCTCTAAAGCTCAAAAGCATTGCTATATGGCGGTTAAAACTGATATGAGCAAGGCCTACGATAGGCTGGAATGGGATTTTGTAAAAGCTGCTCTAAACCGGTTTGGCTTTCACCCTATATGGACGGAATGGATTATGCAATGCATCACAACGGTCACCTATTCTTTCATTATCAACGATGCGACTAGAGGATTTGTTAAACCAGGTCGTGGGATTAGACAGGGAGACCCTTTATCACCCTATCTATTCATTCTATGCAGCGAACTACTTTCCAATTTATGTATTATGGGACAACGGAATGGCAAACTCAAAGGTATTAAGATAGCTTCAGGGGCTCCAAGCATTAATCATCTGCTATTTGCAGATGATACAATGTTTTTCTGCAAGGCAAATATGCTTAATGCTCAAACTCTTACTAAGATCCTAGCTACCTACGAATCTGTCTCGGGCCAACTCATAAATCCACAGAAGTCGGCAGTGTCTTTTTCAAAAAACACAGACCATGCTAGAAGAGATCAGATCAAACTGAGCCTAGGCATTGAGAGTAATGGAGGCTTTGGGAAGTACCTGGGACTGCCTGAGCAATTTGGCAGAAGGAAAAGCGAACTTTTTGCTAATATAACGACCAGGATCAAACGCAAATCCATCAGCTGGTCCTCCAAATTTCTCACACGAGCTGGTAAGATGATTATGTTGCGATCGGTCCTAGCTGCTATGCCATCCCACGCTATGTCCTGTTTCAAGCTCCCACAAACACTCTGCGCACAAATTCAATCCCTGTTAACGAGATTTTGGTGGGATGACACTCATGAAAAAAGAAAAATGTCTTGGGTATCATGGAAGAAGATGACAAGAACTAAGAATCAAGGGGGTTTGGGATTCAAAGACCTTGCTATCTTCAATGACGCACTCCTTGCAAAAGTTAGCTGGAGAATATTGAAGAATCCATCATGCCTCCTTGCCCGATGCCTACTAGGGAAATACTGCAAAAAAGAGAACTTCCTATCAGTCAAACCTACAAAAGCGTCCTCACATGGTTGGAAGGGAATTCTCATAGGGAGAGACCTACTGCTCAACAACCTGGGTTGGATTGTGGGCTCAGGTAAGGCCATTAACGTTTGGAGGGATCCGTGGTTGTCCTCCACTGAACAAGTGAGACCGTATGGACCAGCACCAGAAGCTTTCAAAGATCTGGTGGTGTCGGACCTGATGCTGGAAAACTCCACAGAATGGGATACGCAAAAAATAGATCTCATCTTACCATTCCACAAGCCTAATGTCCTCCAGATCAAGCCCTCTACGTGTAACCTACCAGATGAATTGGTATGGCTCAAAACGGCCTCTGGTGAGTATTCCACGAAGTCAGGATACAGAGCCCAATCAGAGGTCCTCCTCTTGGCAGAGGAACCTGATCCACTAACTTCTCTGGACTGGTTTGCTAATGTCTGGGACATGAAGACGGCGGAGAAGATTAAACTCTTCCTCTGGAACGCGCTCCATGATGCCCTACCAGTGGGAGAACAATTCGCGATCAGGAACATCCAGTTAACAAGCCAATGCCCTAGATGTAATGAGACAGAATCGATTCAGCATTTGCTATTTACCTGCAGATATGCTATAGAAGTTTGGGATCTAGCTCCCCTGGCGATGGAAGTGGACTCTGCCCTCTTCATTTCCACCTACGACGGCCTTGATCGCCTCCGCAAAATCCCTTCTCTGCCCCCGACAGGCTTGAATCCAGGCTCAATCTCGGCTTGGATCTCCTGGAATTTATGGATCGCGAGGAACCAACTCATCTTCCAGAAGAGATACTTCACCCCTAAGGAAACAATTCTCAAGGCTTTGTGTGAAGCTAGAGAATGGACCCTCTCCCTCAACCTCCTGGAAAACCCCCAAAAGAACTTAACCAGTATCAACCAAGATCCTCCTTTAGACCGGATTCGGACTTGCATGTACACAGATGCAGCCTGGAACCACCAGACTTTGTGTGCAGGTCTAGCTTGGATCATCGATGATGCAGGATCATCTTCATCTCACTCAACGACCTCCTTCTTTGTGACGTCGCCCCTCATTGCGGAGACCTTGGCAATGCGAATCGCCATGACTTCTGCCCTCCAACGTGGAATAACCTCCATCTCAATCTGCTCAGATTCAAAATCCCTAATCTCGCTCATTAAGTCAAGAGGAAGAAACCTAGAAATAGCTATCCTCCTCAACGACATTCACCTACTTTCTTTGCAATTTAACTCAATCTGTTTTAATTTTATCCCTAGGCTGGATAACTCTAGAGCTGATCTTGTTGCCAAACAAGCTCTTTCTCTTGTAACCGGTTTGATTTAAATGAATGTACCAAATGCTTCACAAAAAAAAACAATGTAACCTTATATGTTTGTGGTTAGTCAGTGATAAATATGTTAAAGGTTTCTATAGATAAATGTGTTTTGTAAGATAAATGTCTTAATGTTTTTATATTTATTTGTATTTTCTTTGGCTAAGTTGTATACATATAACTTTTAGTTATGTGTATATATAAATATATACCTAAAATTTGGTTTTATTTGTAAACAAATATTATCTCAGTGCGTAGCACTGGGTCAACACTAGTAATCATCAAAGGGGAAACAATCTAGCCGATCCATACGTTATCTATCTCTTATTTATTCAAAAGCTTCTATTTAAGCCAGTTAGTCTTCATTTTTACCCAATATTATTATATATGATGTAAAGAAGACATTCACCAGCAAAAAGAAACAAATCACATCTAATTCAGTCTCCTTATAATAACTAGCTAATATAATAGTATTTTTCCAAATCGTATATTCTATGCTTGTTGTATTTTTTTGTCGGAATATGCTTGTATCTTCTTTAATTAAAGTTTAACATTGAAGTAGAAGTGTGTTTGATTTTGATAATTAAAACAATTTGGTTCTGGACTAGTTTGGGCTTTATTATTTGGGCCATTAATTATTACCCATTAGAATATAATGGGTCTCAGGCCTTTTAATTCGTTCGGACCGCACGTGCGGGTACGATGAGGGCTTACAGACTCTATGTAGAAGTACATGGTTCAGTTTTGTGAATATAATAAGTATAGGGAGAACTGCAGCTATTCGATAAAATCAAAGTGGGACAACACATTACAACGCAACTGACGGTGAAAAGGTTTAGGCATGCATTAGTTCAGCTGACTTGTTCCACTTCAGGACAAGGTTTAAGTACCAAAGAAAAAAAAAAACACTCCGGCGAATCTTCTCTTGTTTTCCGGCATCGGAAGGTGGATTAAAATGGCGGTGGACAGTGAGTATCTGATGCAGTTTGTGGACGAAACGTCGTTTTACAATCGCATTGTTCTGAGTCACCTTTTGCCGTCGAATCTGTTGGATCTATTACCGCATTTTCTCCAGACATGGCTCCGGAACTACCTAGCCGGAACCTTGTTATACTTCATCTCCGGTTTTCTCTGGTGCTTCTACATCTATTACCTCAAACTTAACGTTTATATCCCCAGAGGTGATTTTTTTATTATTCTTGATTTAGTTTCCTGTGGTGATTATGTTCTTGAGGTTTAGTGATCACTTCTATGCTGCCATGGTCTGATTGGTTCTAGTCAATTTTCAAAAAAGGAATTTGTTTATCAAACTGTTACTTTAATTGGACTTTAGCATCTGTCATGCTTTCATAATAACTATGATTTTGATTTTACATGGGTTTGGTTTGGTATTTTAAATTCTTAGTCATGATAGCAACCTCAGTAGCTAATGTTCAGTTTGTCTTTGTCTGAATATCTAGATTTTATTAGAATTCATTTGTCATAACTACCTTAAAACTTATGAACTATGTGTATCATACTTCTTTAATTCTGATGATTTATCTTGGTGAGGTTTATGATAGACTAGACTCTTTAGCTCTGTGCTTGCGTTATACTTTTGCTTGGTTACCATACTCTCTATCTTTAGGCTTGATATAAGTTCTTGGGCAAATAATACTTCACACTACCTCTAATTAGATTGGTAGTTGCAGTGATTGTCTACGTTGAACCTTGACTTGATTTTGATATTAGGAATATGTGTTCTTGTTCTATGAAACTTTTCCTGGAGAAAAGGATATAGAAGAGTTTCTGTAATAAAATTTGTTGAAGTATAGTGCTTTGTCTTAGTTTGAAATCTTTTTTTTTTTGTTAATCTACTTTGTCATCAGATGCAATTCCTACAAGAAAGGCTATGCTTTTGCAAATATATGTAGCAATGAAGGCAATGCCTTGCTACACTCTTCTTCCAACTGTCTCCGAGTATATGATTGAAAGTGGTTGGACCAAATGCTACTCAAGAATAGGCGAAGTCAGCTGGTTCCTCTACTTTGTTTCCATCGCTGTCTACCTTATTCTAGTCGAGTTTGGTATTTATTGGATGCACAGAGAGCTTCATGACATTAAGCCTCTTTATAAGTATCTCCATGCCACCCATCATATCTACAACAAGCAGAACACACTTTCTCCCTTTGCCGGTAAGTATATATATATAATGTCTTACGCTTTAGTCATGTCAAAAGATTGGTAGAGCATTCAGCACGTTTTGGTTTTTCTTTCAGGGCTTGCGTTTCATCCACTAGACGGGATACTTCAGGCAGTACCGCATGTGATAGCTCTGTTCATAGTGCCGATTCATTTCACAACCCATATAGGTCTCTTGTTTATGGAAGCGATATGGACAGCGAACATCCATGACTGCATCCACGGTAACATCTGGCCTGTGATGGGTGCAGGGTACCATACGATACACCACACTACATACAAGCATAACTATGGTCATTACACCATATGGATGGATTGGATGTTTGGCTCTCTTAGAGACCCTCTCTTACAAGAAGATGACAACAAAGCAGAGTGAGAATGAATGCCATTTGTTTTGTCGTTTTGTGTGTTTGTTTTTTCTTGTTCAAAGTTTCAACCTTTTACTTATTAGTCTTCCTCATGTGAGTGTCTCTGACAACGTTTTTCCAGTTATGTTGTTTAGACATTGACTGCACACTTGCTGTCTAGCTTACACATAAGAAAGATATTTTTGTTCAGTGTAAGAAAATTCAAAAACACGAAAAGTACCAAAAGGAGAATAAAATAATGAAAAAGAAAACAATCAAAAATACAAAAAAAAACATAAACAGAATGAAGAAAATTAAAAACTTGACATAATTGGATATATTTACATTGTAATCATCATCATCAATGCATCAAAACGCGTGCTTTCGCTCTGTTTCATCCGCCATGGAACTATAGAAGTAGGTAAGTAGGGAATACACCTTTGTCACTAACCCACGTTTTCTCCTAAGCATCAAAGCAAACCCTTAAGGCGAATCGATCAGCGTCAAGGTAAAAAAAAACTCCTCCTTTTCTCTGCTTTTTTAACACACGACGAACAGAGTCCCGGTAAATTTCGTTCTCTAGTTTCAGTTTAAATAAATCTTTCTTTTGAATATCCATGTGGGGGAATAAAGGTCGTTCTTTTCACATGGGGTTTTAGTTTGTTTATTTGTGTAGACAAGACATACAAAAGTATTTATATTTGCCATTGCTCGTGGTACCACTTGTGTAGATTAGGTTTGTCCCCACAAGAGTCACTGTGTATCTCTCCTTCAATTGCTGTGAGAGAGATGTTGAATTGGGTTTCCATCTACTAATAATTAAGATGGTGTTTCTTGTCTGTTTCTGTCTTCTTCCTTTTTTCGCCAGCTAGATCTTCTCTTTATTGTCGTTCTTCTTCAGCTAACTTTAGCTGCTTACGATGCCTTTTCCTCGTTTTCTGAAATTTGGGGGGATTTTTCAGGTTTGTTGTTTCTTGCTAAATGATTTTCTGGGAAAGGTTTTAAATTGTTGGGTTTCTGCTGGAATATCTAACTTCAAATTCATGTCTTCCTTCAGCTGTTATATGTTTTCACTGTGTGTTTTAGGTGAATTTAGCCTTTAGTCTTCAGTTTGTTGGAGAGTTGTTTGGTTTGGTTTGTTTCTGGATTGGATTGGTTTGTAGTTTCAGTAGGAGTGAGCGCTGAGACCCCAGTAGGAGTGAGTGCTGGGTAGATAGGCTAGTATAAGGAGGAACCAGTAGGAGTGAGAGCTGGTGTGGCTAGTAGGAGTGAGAGCTAGCCACTTATGAGTAAGATTGAGAGTTTTCGGTAGGAGGTGGCTGAGTTGGAAGTTGAGATTCTTGAGTTTTATTTACTTTATCATTTTGTATAAGAAATCTAAGAAAGGACAGCTCTTGTAACAAGGTTTTTTCTTTTTTGAATTCAATTTAACATTCAATTCAAAAAAAAAAAAAAAAAGAATTTAGCCTTTAGGTGAATGTCTCATTATAGACTGTTAAAGTTTGCAAGAGTCTCAATTAAATTTTCCAATTTGCAATAGTACTACCTAGTCAGTGACTCTTGGTTCCAGATTCGTTTTGGTGATGACAATCTACTTAATCATCGCTTTGTTTAGACTTTTTTGCCCTGAAATTATAAATGATTACTCTCTCATCTTTTATCTTGTGGTTTCGTGTTTAGAGTTATTCGTAGATAAGTGATACCTTTGGTTGTGGTTCTTGTAAACTTTAGTTTCCAGCTTGAACATGGGAATGGTTATTGTAATAAGTGGTTAACGTAGAAGAATGCTTTTTTTTTTTTCAGATCAAAAGAAAACCAATTAGTTGCTGCAATGAGTCAATGACTGAATTAGCAATTTATGCATGTTGGTTTAGTGATGATTTAGGTTGATTCAAGACAATGATCACAGTATTGACTACCGCTCCTAACTGTATGTGTGTGTAGCTATAAACTGACTCTCAAACTTAGTCCTGGTCCATAAACATTAGCAAGTAGATATATTTGTTTCAGTTGAGTTAAAGTTCACATGCTCAGGAAAGTTTAGGAATGTTACCCAGAAGAGTTTATGATTCTTGGGATGTTTAAAATCTTGTTTCTTGAATATTTGGGGTGGTTCTCTTTGTCTTTCCCTTCAAAAAATTTTACCCAGAAGAGTTTATGATTCTTGGGATGTTCATAGGCTGTGACAAACCGGGGACCTGAGATTTCAGGAACTGCTGATAATTGTGTCTCGCCATCTGACATTCCACTCATAGAACCTAATAGTAAAGAGGTACCTCTAATTGTGTTTGTTCTTTTCACCAACGACTTTTGGTCTATTCCATGTCAAAACGTCCCTGTGGATGAATTTTATTGGAAAACACTTATTTTACCAGCTCAGTTATGGTAGAACACTCGATTTAGTGCTACAAGTAGATTTTCTATTGAGTCTATGTTGCTATTCTCACACACTACACGTACATTTCTTGCTTAGATTGTTTGCTTTTCCATCTCTATGCTCGCTTCAAAAGGGAAGATCATTTGATTAAAGTCATATTTATGTCTGTCTCTGAGCAGCTCAAGATGAGAGAAGCACAGCTAGGCGCTCACACTGTGAGGTCCCATGGAATGACACTTGCAAGGACTCACATGCACGACTGGATCATACTCGTATTGCTTGTTATTCTCGAGTGCATACTCCTCATAATCCACCCGTTTTATCGCTTTGTCAGTAAAGATATGATGACTGATCTAAGTTTCCCTCTAAAGAGTAACACCATACCAATCTGGTCTGTCCCGGTTAGTAAGCTTCCATTAACTCAAGTTCTGACATTGGCCTTTTTCACAGTATAAAAACATTCCTTTCTTCTAATGACAGATCTATGCAATGTTGTTGCCATTGGTAATCTTCATCGCTATCTACTTCCGTAGAAGAGATGTATACGATCTTCATCATGCGGTGTTAGGTCAGAACTTCTTTTAAAAAAGAGAGATTAATGTATTCTTCAACACGTCTTCTTTCATATATATAAAAGATATTGGCCTTTGTTTTTAATGATGCAGGTCTGTTATACTCTGTTCTGGTGACTGCAGTACTTACAGATTCAATAAAGAATGCAGTTGGTCGTCCACGCCCTGACTTCTTCTGGCGTTGTTTTCCTGATGCCAAAGCTGTAAATGTCCCCATGAGTTTTTTTATTATTCCTGTTCTGTCTTTTGAATATCTATTTTACTTCTCAGGTTTATGATAGCCTCGGAGATGTGATATGTCATGGTGATAAAAGTGTCATAAGGGAAGGGCACAAAAGCTTCCCAAGCGGACACACCTCTTGTAAGTCCAACCTTCTTTTTTTTTTGTTCTTGAGCATTTTACTCGAAGAAGAGTAGATTAGCAAGTTTGTTTTGGCTTTTGTAGGGTCTTTTGCGGGTTTAGGATTCTTGTCACTGTATTTATCAGGGAAGATTCAAGTCTTTGACGGTAAAGGACACGTTGCAAAGCTATGCATTGTCATACTCCCTTTGCTAGTTGCAGCTCTTGTCGGTATTTCACGTGTAGATGACTATTGGCATCACTGGCAAGACGTCTTTGCAGGAGGCTTGCTAGGTATTGCATGTTTTTCACTCTCTACTCGAAACTTGTTTCCATTTGAATATCATACAAACTTATACCATCTTTCTACAGGTCTCGTGGTGTCTACTTTCTGTTATCTTCAATTCTTTCCACCACCATATCACACCGAAGGTACAAAAAAATAAATTGTGGATTACATTTACAGGATGCTGTAAAGATCTGTTTGTGAGCTGATCATGAAGTTTTTGATATATTCTTGAGCAGCTTGGGGGCCATATGCTTACTTCCAAGTGCTGGAGGCGGCACGAGCTCAAGCGCAAGCAACAGAGAATGGAGCGGCTCAGGGAGGTAACAGTGAGGAGGAAGACGGAGGGTTTATGGGTTTACATTTGGTGGATAATCCGAGTATGAGGAGAGAAGAAGATGTAGAAACTGGTAGAGGCTGAGATATAAAAGAGAGACACGGAAGCTGGTTTGGTCCACTGCTTACTTGCTTAGTACACTTTCTCTTGTTCTGTAGATTTTTTTTTTTTGTTTGATTACTTAGTCGTTTGGTATAACTGGTTAGACCCCGGTTTATTGAATAAAGTTTATTGCTTTTAGCTTGTTCAGTTGGGATTAATCGAATCATAAGTTAAGCCGGTATAGTTTGACTGAACCGGTTTTATATCCTCCTGATTCTAGTCAATGTTCAAAACTCATTCAAACAAATAATTATAAAATTTTCTAATAAAAAGTTTCTGCAAATACATATTGAATGATCTAATTAAATATTTCATAAAATCCTTTCTTTTGAGAAAAATCCAAGCAAGTTTTGTAACGTTTGATTTTCAGAGTTATTGGCATGTTACATTCAACACTACATGCCAAGTAAACATGAATAAGCCAACTTTCTCAGTCAAGCCGATTTGTTTGTTTATAAACGGCACGGCATGCATGCGTTACAAAACTTAATTTATGCCAGCGACGATCAGGTTAAGAGTATCTAATTAAACCTGATCACATTCCATGTGATCTTTTTGTTTATTCTAATATATTTTGTTTGCATTTGTATATGCCTAATTATTTTATAATTATGATGAAGTGTATGATTGATTGTACAAAAGTAATACTAAATGAAACATTTAAACGTGAATGCAAGCCGAAAAGAAATGATAATTTACGTTTCAGATTTGTTTTTATATTTGTATTACGTACTATTGAGCGTCTTATAGTACATAATTACATTGCTCGATTCACCGGTAAATGCTCTATTTGAAACATCAATCAACTAGAGACCTTAATAACTTAAGCATTAATGCATTATAGTAAATTTTATTTTGAAAAGTGCAAGTTATCTCATATCATTAAAATGTCGATTTTATATGATTACATAATTTAAAGCCGCAATAGTGTACTAATAAAAAAATATTGTACTGATAAACTGCTTACTGGAATTCCGATTACAGACAAAAGAAATTGTCGGTAACGGTTAATTAATTACAGATATATATAGACAGCCCATAGTCATAGTTTTTTTAATTAAAAAAGACTAGTGGTATGTCACATTGTTGTATATTATTAAGCAAATAACTAGTGACATAATTATCATTGTTATTAGATAATAATACTTACTATTATATCTGAGGATGCCATGTTTAACACTCCATCTTTCGTCACCTCTATATTTATTTATAAGATAGTCTCCTCTCCTCATATCACACAAATGCACAAGAGAAAGAGAACTAGTAGAGAGATCTAGAGAGAGAGAGATGACTATGATTTTGCCCTTCAACTCGACGATGACGACGCCAATGAGTCAACACCCGGTGGTGGCGGTCTCTTCTTCACCGTCTCTTTCCTTGGGTCCGAGTTTTCCTCGTCGTCTTCGAGTTTCGTGCGTTGCCACAAACCCTAGGTGTGCTTTTCAGATCTTCACTTCTTTTCAATGGTTGGTATATGTTTGACTCATTGGATTTTCTCATAAAACGAGATGAAAGATGCTAAGTAATTCAATGAATGGTATGCATATATATATATATATTGTCTAATTGGCTATTAATATTTTTTTAAAAAGACAATTCATGTAAAATTTTAAATTCGAGAGATAGTTATAAACATTAAAACTACCTCAAAATAAGTTTTTTCAATAAACTCTCTTTACATGTATTAGAAATCTTACCGAGAAATCGCATGCATGTAGTTTGGTGAAGTCATTGTATTCCGAGAAATCGCATGCATGCAGTTTGGTAAGTCGGGGTTGTATTTTTCATGATTGGATATTAAATGCTTGCAAACAAATACATGAGCTGTATTATATAGGAGTAGGACACAAGACTTGATCAAAATATAACAATCTTGTGACGACTAAAATTTTGTAGAAAAACAAGTGAACAAATACATGACACGAAGACGTTTCGACCCATCAAAGAAGTACCAAACCAATTAACCCACACGATAGCACAAGAGAAGCTTGAGATCTTCAAATCAATGGAGAATTGGGCAGAAGAAAACTTACTATCATACCTCAAACCCGTCGAAACTTCATGGCAACCACAAGACCTTTTGCCTCAAACCAATGACGAGGACCAATTCTACGAGCAAGTGAAAGAGCTAAGAGATCGAGCAAGAGAGATTCCCGACGATTACTTTGTAGTTCTTGTCGGAGATATGATCACCGAAGAAGCATTACCAACTTATCAGACGACTTTGAATACACTAGACGGTGTCAAGGATGAGACCGGCGGGAGTTTAACTCCATGGGCAGTTTGGGTTAGAGCGTGGACGGCAGAGGAAAACCGACACGGTGATTTGTTGAATAAGTATCTCTATCTATCTGGTCGTGTGGATATGCAACATGTTGAAAGAACTATTCAGTATTTGATCGGATCTGGCATGGTACGTTTTAATTTCATACTATATCTATATGCATGCGTTTTTTTTTTCTTACCAGGTCTTGATTTCGGTTTAGATCCGTGTTACTACAGCATGATGCTCTTTTATTTTTCTTATCACAAATTTCATTAATTCAAGTCTAAGACGTTACAACGATATAATCAGAAGTATGCTCGACAGTAAAATGAACAACAATAACATAGAAAAAATAAAATATAAGATAGAAGTGTTAAAAAGAGAGACTAGCTTGAAGTAGAGAGATCCGCGGATAATCTTCATTTGGATCCTTAAAACCATGTGATATTCATAATTGTTAAGTTTGTATCGTTTCCAATCTGAATCGGTTTCTGTTACAGATTATTATAGTCCAGGTTTATTTCCACACGGTTTAAGTTTGATTTGGTATAGTCGAATTGTGCAATATCATAAAGTTTTGGGTGAAACATGGAATTAATATATTGTGTTATGGTCAATATTTGATATATATTTGTTTTCAGGACTCAAAATTTGAAAACAATCCATATAATGGCTTCATTTACACTTCATTCCAAGAGAGAGCAACTTTCATTTCCCACGGCAACACTGCGAAGCTAGCCACTACCTACGGCGACACCAATCTCGCCAAAATCTGCGGCACAATCGCAGCTGACGAGAAGCGCCACGAGACAGCCTACACACGGATCGTGGAGAAGCTCTTCGAGATAGATCCTGATGGGACTGTACAGGCTCTAGCGAGTATGATGAGGAAGCGAATCACGATGCCGGCTCATCTGATGCACGATGGTCGTGACGACAATCTGTTCGATCATTATGGTGCGGTGGCGCAACGAATAGGGGTTTATACGGCGATGGATTATGCCGGGATATTGGAGTTTTTGCTGCGGCGGTGGAATGTGGAGACGTTGGGAGTGGGTTTGACCGGTGAAGGAAGGAGAGCACAGGAGTATCTGTGTAGCTTGCCGCAGAGGATCAGGAGGTTAGAGGAAAGGGCTAACGATAGAGTGAAACTTGGGTCGAGGCCTTCTGTTTCCTTCAGCTGGATCTACGGGAGAGAAGTTGAATTATAAGAGACTGTGACTTAAAAGCAGAGAGAATGTTGTGTTAGTGAAGTTATGTCAAGAATGGCATGTTTGTAATCAAATGTAACCATAATAAACGAACTTAATGAAGAACGATGTTGATCTGGCGTGTTAATATAATGTTGCGTTAGAGAAATCTGTCATACAAATATTTAACGTAGTTCACCTTAGACATAGTGGACAAATATAGAACAGCTTCCCACCCTATTAATATTCAAACACATAAAGAAGCAAAAAGTAGATCCCTAGTTGTTTCGAACTCAAGTCTATGTTACCACAAAATAATTTTAACGTACATTAATATAATTGTATAATGTGATTAGGTATTTTTTTTAGTCAACATGAAATAACTTAAACTTCAGTAAATATCATTTATCGAAAAATTTATTATTTTTGTAGGGGTTAACCTATAGATTTTAAGAAAAGTTATAAAATTTGGTGTTTTTATTTAATGCATAGATGCACCGAGCACAAATATAGGATGAAGATCGAGGATGTCTGATACCGTTTTTTGTCCCAATCACTATCCAGGGCAGTATAGATTGTGCTTATCCAACCACACTGATTGTGATTCAAGCCATCTAAGACATTCATCAAGAGAGGTGTTGTGACTTGCACTCTTTTCCTTGGTTTGGTTTTGTCCCATTTGGATTTTCTGAACTTAGGTTTTTAATGAGGCTTGGACACAACACTCATACAAAAGCCTTTTGATGAAGCTAAGCCCATTTCTATCCTATTTTCGTCCAGAACTCTCTTAGGAGCCTTTTTCTTATTTTCAAATTTAAATTCAGTCTTTGTTTTAATTGTTTTGTGTGTTTCCAAGAAGCTCTGCATGTACAGTCTTCTTCTCTAGGATATAGAGATTTCATAGGGTCTAATTCTTTGATTTACGTGGTATATGAAGTTTTATTAAGTTAAGCGTACATTAAAATATGTTTAGCGTACATTAAAAATACTTTGAGAGTGTGGTTTGGTATTTTTAAACAACACTAAAGTGTCTAAAATTAAATATAGCATTTTTCAGAAAATTCAAATTTTTCAAAGGGGTTAACCCACATATTTCAAGAAAAATTAGAAATTTTCATTTTTTGTTTTATTGCATATTTGCATCATCAACTCACATAGAATGAATATTAAAGAGGTTTGAGACCTTATGTGTTCTCATTTCTCTAGAAAGTAGAGATTTCGGAGGGGTTAAGACACTAATTAGATCGTATATGAAATTTAAATAAATTACTCATTAGAAAGTTAGAAATGAAGACCATGTACTATGAAAATATGTTTAGCCTACATTAATATACATTGAGAGTGTGTTTTGGTATTTTTAAACAATACTAAAGTGTGTAAAATTAAATATAGCATTTATCGGAAAATTCAATTTTTTCAAAGGGATTAACCCACATATTTCAAGAAAAATTAGAACTTTTTTTTTGTTTTATTGCATATTTGCATCATCAAGTGACATAGTATGAATATTAAAGAGGTTTGAGACCTTATATATTCTCATTTTTCTAGAAAATAGAGATTTTATAGATGTTAGGATACATATGAAATTTAAATAAATTACTTGTTGAAAAGTTAGAAATGATGACCAAATACCATAAAAATATTTTTAGCCTACATTAATATACATTAAGAGTGTGGTTTGATATTTTTTTAACTACACTAAAGTGTTTTAAATTAAAGATAGCATTTTTCAGAAATTTCAATTTTTTCAAAGGGGTTAACCCACATATTTCAAGAAAAATTAGATTTTTATTTTATTTTTTGTTTTATTTATTTGCATCATCACCTGCATAGTATGAATATTAAATAGGTTTGAGACCTTATGTGTTCTCATTTCTCTAGAAAATAGAGATTTTATCGGAGCTAGGACACTAATTAGATCGTATATGAAGTTTAAATAAATTACTCGTTAAAAAGTTAGAAATGATGACCATGTACCATGAAAATATGTTTAGCCTATATTAATATACATCGAGAGTGTATTTTGGTATTTTTAAACAACACTAAAGTGTATAAAATTAAATATAGTATTTATCGGAAAATTCAATTTTTCAAAGGGGTTAACCCACATATTTCAATAAAAATTAGAAAATTTTCATTTATTTTGGTTTTATTGCATATTTGTATCATCAACTGACATAGAATGAATATTAAAGAGGTTTGAGACCTTATATGTTCTCATTTCACTAGAAAATAGAGATTTTATAGGGGTTAGGATACATATGAAATTTAAATAAATTACTCGTTGGAAAGTTAGAAATGATGACCATATAACATGAAAATATGTTTAGCCTACATTAATATACACTGAGAGTGTGGTTTGGTTAACCCACATATTTCAACAAAAATTAGAATTTTTTTTAATTTTTGTTTTATTGCATATTTGCATCATCAGCTGACAAAGTATGAATATTAAATAGGTTTGAGACCTTATGTGTTCTCATTTCTCTAGAAAATAGAGATTTTATTGAGGTTAGGATACACATGAAGTTTAAATAAATTACTTGTTGAAAAGTTAGAAATGATGACCAAGTACCATGAAAACATGTATAGCCTAAATTAATATACATTGAGAGTGTGGTTGGTATTTCTTTAACAACACTAAAGTGTCTAAAATTAAATATAGCATTTTTCAGAAAATTCAATTTTTTCGAAGGGGTGAACCAACAAATTTTAAAAAAAATTAGAATTTTTTTACTTTTTTGTTTTATTGCATATTTGCATCATCATCTGACAAAGTATGAATATTAAATAGGTTTGAGACCTTATGTGTTCTCATTTCTCTAGAAAATAAAGATTTTATAGGGGTTAGGATACATATGAAGTTTAAATAAATTACTTGTTGAAAAGTTAGAAATGATGACCAAATACCATGAAAATATGTTTAGC